AAAGGTTCAGACCCGTTGACTATAACCTCTCTCACAAGCAACATGATCAAACCCAAGACTCTTTGGATGTTGATCACATGGTGATGTGACCTGTCAGTGTTAATCACATGGTGATGTGAACTAGATTATTGACTCTAGTGCAAGTGGGAGACTGTTGGAAATATGCCCTAGAGGCAATAATAAATTGATTATTATTATATTTCCTTGTTCATGATAATCGTTTATTATCCATGCTAGAATTGTATTGATAGGAAACTCAGATACATGTGTGGATACATAGACAACACCATGTCCCTAGTAAGCCTCTAGTTGACTAGCTCGTTAATCAATAGATGGTTACGGTTTCCTGACCATGGACATTGGATGTCGTTGATAACGGGATCACATCATTAGGAGAATGATGTGATGGACAAGACCCAATCCTAAGCCTAGCACAAGATCATGTAGTTCGTATGCTAAAGCTTTTCTAATGTCAAGTATCATTTCCTTAGACCATGAGATTGTGCAACTCCCGGATACCGTAGGAGTGCTTTGGGTGTGCCAAACGTCACAACGTAACTGGGTGGCTATAAAGGTACACTACAGGTATCTCTGAAAGTGTCTGTTGGGTTGGCACGAATCGAGATTGGGATTTGTCACTCCGTGTAAACGGAGAGGTATCTCTGGGCCCACTCGGTAGGACATCATCATAATGTGCACAATGTGACCAAGGGGTTGATCACGGGATGATGTGTTACGGAACGAGTAAAGAGACTTGCCGGTAACGAGATTGAACAAGGTATCGGTATACCGACGATCAAATCTCGGGCAAGTACCATACCGCTAGACAAAGGGAATTGTATACGGGATTGATTGAGTCCTTGACATCGTGGTTCATCCGATGAGATCATCGTGGAACATGTGGGAGCCAACATGGGTATCCAGATCCCGCTGTTGGTTATTGACCGGAGAACATCTCGGTCATGACTACATGTCTCCCGAACCCGTAGGGTCTACACACTTAAGGTTCGATGACGCTAGGGTTATAAAGGAAGTTTGTATGTGGTTACCGAATATTGTTCGGAGTCCCGGATGAGATCCCGGACGTCACGAGGAGTTCCGGAATGGTCCGGAGGTAAAGATTTATATATAGGAAGTCATGTTTCGGCCATCGGGACAAGTTTCGGGGTCATCGGTATTGTACCGGGACCACCGGAAGGGTCCCGGGGGCCCACCGGGTGGGGCCACCTGCCCCGGGGGCCACATGGGCTGTAGGGGGTGCGCCTTGGCCTACATGGGCCAAGGGCACCAGCCCCTAGAGGCCCATGCGCCAAGAGTGGAGGAAAATGGGAGAGTCCTAAAGGGGGAAGGCACCTCCGAGGTGCCTTGGGGAGGATGGACTCCTCCCCCCCTCTTAGCCGCACCCCTTCCTTGGAGGAAGGGGCAAGGCTGCGCCTCCCCCCTCTCCCCTGCCCCTATATATAGTGGAGGGGAGGGAGGGCATCCATACATGAGCCCTTGGCGCCTCCCTCCCTCCCGTGACACCTCCTCCTCTTCCGTAGGTGCTTGGCGAAGCCCTGCAGGATTGCCACGCTCCTCCATCACCACCACGCCGTTGTGCTGCTGCTGGATGGAGTCTTCCTCAACCTCTCCCTCTCTCCTTGCTGGATCAAGGCGTGGGAGACATCGTCGAGCTGTACGTGTGTTGAACGCGGAGGAGCCGTCCGTTCGGCACTAGGATCATCGGTGATCTGAATCACGACGAGTACGACTCCATCAACCCCGTTCACTTGAACGCTTCCGCTTAGCGATCTACAAGGGTATGTAGATGCACTCCTCTTTCTACTCGTTGCTGGTTTCTCCATAGATAGATCTTGGTGACGCGTAGGAAAATTTTGAATTTCTGCTACGTTACCCAACAATGACAACTCATGTCTATGGTTAGGAAACATAACCATCATTGATTCAACGAGCTAGTCAAGTACAGGCAAACTAGTGACACTCTGTTTGTCCATGTATTCACACATGTACTAAGTTTTTCCGGTTAATACAATTCTAGCATGAATAATAAACATTTATCATGATATAAGGAAATATAAATAACAACTTTATTATTGCCTCTAGGGCATATTTCCTTCAGCTACTGGTACATACCCTCAGCCCCGAGGGTGAACTACTCCCTACTCATCATGGAGAGCGTCGGGATGATTAAGATGGCCACCGGAGAGGGATCCCCCCCCTCCTCCAGCAGGGTGCCGGAACGGGTCTAGATTGCTTTTCGGTAGCTACAGTGGCTTGTGGCAGCGAAACTCCCGATCTAGGTTATTTTCTGGAAGTTTCAGTATTTATAGGAATTTTTGGCATCGGGAACAAGTCAGGGAGGTGCCCGAGTCATCCACGAGGGTGGAGGGCGCGCCCTACCCCCTGGGCTTGCCCTCCTATCTCGTGGACGGCTCGGGACTCTTCTGGCCCAACTATTTTACTCCAGGGGCTTCTTTTGGTCCATAAAAAATCATCAAAAAGTGGCACGTCAATTGGACTCAGTTTGGTATTCCTTTTCTGTAAAACTCAAAAATAAGGAAAAAATAGAAACTGGCACTGGGCTCTAGGTTAATAGGTTAGTCCCAAAAATCATATAAAATCATATATAAATGCATATAAAACATCCTAGATGGATAATATAATAGCATGGTACAATCAAAAATTATAGATACGTTGGAGACGTATCACTCATCGACGTACACCTCAGCATATTGTCTACCTAAACTACCACGCCAGCCTTGATAGATGGGTCCCACCAATCAGAAATATTGTCAAACCATGCTTTTTTAAGGGGCATGGTTTGACAGCATGCTTAGCCGGGCATTAGTGGTATTTGTGAAGAGTTGCATCGGACCGGTGATTTGTTGAAAAAGGAAATCAAAACCGGCGGTTTTATAAATACCTAGTAACAATCGTGGTGGGTTTTGTGTGTTTTAGAAAAGGAGGATGATCTCCGGCCTCTGCATCTGGGCGATGCATATGGTTACTTTATTAATTATTCTCACAAGACCTTACAAAGTCATACAACAGTAAGACAAAAGTCGTTCTCTAAGCAATAAACTATCGCTACACCTATCTAGTTGATGAAGGGGCACAGATAGCCTGGGCCTAATACCAAACAGGCATCGCAGCTAAGCCTAACATCTAAGACCCGATACCCCAACCTAGCCACTTGCCGGGTCTGGGACACACACTGGTCCGGCGTGCTCTCAGAGGCCGCCGCCTCCAACTGCCACCGCTCCATCTTCAGAACTATACTGATGCATCAACCTTGCTCGGTCTAGCTATCGTCGACGCCACCACGACGCCCAGCGGCACCTCCTCCCTGCACGCAAACAGCTGAGCACGTCGCGCTCGCCACTGATACACCTCAGCAACATGCTGCCAAGTACCACCAGCCGACACAGCTTGAAGTCCTTGTAAGATCTGTCATGCGTAGCACCTGCCGACCAGGCATGACAAAGCGTAGCACCTGTCGGTCAAGCATGACTTGACATCTCCACCGAAGCTCCATGCAAGACGAAGCCGCTCCTCCTCATGCCTCTGACTTCCAGCGCTGCTCCACAAACGATGCTCCCAAGAGAGAAATGACACCGCAGTGCCGCCATCGTCCGATCTGGAACACCAGATCCTAGGGTTTCCCCCAGAGCATCGACAGTAGTTACACGACGATGCCTTCATCAAGGTAACGGCGTAGAACGCCGCCATCGCCTGCCGTCGGCTCGGTTTTCACCGGCAACCATGTCTCCCCAACTCGCAGCCGGGACTAGATGATGGATCTCGAGATCCGATCACCAAGCTTCTGGCCGGCCACCGCCAATGAAGAAGATGACCACCACCACTGGCTACGCCGACCAGAACAGATCTGCCATGGGTGCCGCCAAGCAGTCCACCAGGCCCTCGACGTCGCCGCCGATCTAAAGCCAGATGACATGCCGCCGAAGACCGCATCGTGCCGTCGCCCGATCTAGGCCAGCCGCCGCAGCAGCCGCCCGTGGCCCGAGGCAGGGCCGACCGCCGCCGCCGTCGAAGCCAACGCCGTCGCTTCTAGATCGACTGCACCTTCACGCATGTTGGGGCCCCGCCACCCTTGAGACGCGGGAGGGAGGAAGAGCCCCCGCCACCGCCGTCGGCCTTCGGGCGCAAGCCGGCGGCGTCCTCCGGCGGCGGTGGGAGGAGGGGAGGAAGATGGGCTAGGCCCCGGCGGCGGCTAGGGTTGGGGAGCCACCCGAGTGGCCCGAGCGGAGGGGCGATGCGGGGGTATCTTGCGTAACTTACTCAGTTTATATAACCCGATTAATCCTATTACATATGCATGAACATGTATGAATGAATAACTAAAACCAATATTAGCTTTTCTTCTGTCTTCCTCTGATATTATTAGCTTAGGTATCTATGAACAGTGTCTATGATGCTCGATCGTATTGGGCCCATAATAAAAATGATAGTAGACGAATATCACTAATTAGCAGGCTTCAAAAGACCCCACGACTCTCCTCTTTTGCCAAAGGCGGGAGGGGGAGCCTT